ATAACAGTAAAATGCAAAATAAGTAGTGAACTGCCATTTTGGCCTCAAAGAGAATGAAACTGCATCAACTTAGTCTATCTAAAAAGTTCTTCACAAATGTCCTTTGGTATTTCAGCATGGGCTTTTTCATGTCTTTCTGCAAGTGCCACAGTCCCTTCTGTCTCTATAGGAGCAGGACAGTAGAGCCCAGCAGAGCCACGTAGCTGTAGACAGGTGAACGGTCTCTCCTTGTTCGATGCCGCAAGGACCCCTCTGTAAAGAAGGGGATCTGCACTGAAATACAGCTGAAAAGAAGGGAGCAACTGCTGTCTGTCAAGGGACCCCTATTGACTCCACAAGGCCTTTGGGAAGTCAGTGATGGAGCCCACCATGCTCTGAATGCCACCTGATAAGTGGCTTTACCAAAATAAGTAGCAGTAGATCCCCTGGCAGTGGGCCTTTGACATGCCCCTTTGCATCCCAAAATACATGTGCCCTATACACATTTGATGCTGCCTTGCTTTTATTGTTGAAAATGATCTACATGAGAAGAATCATGAAAGCTGAGGTGAAAGGAGTAGTTATGTACAAGCACATCAGAGGCTCCATAAGTTCCTTTATTAAAATTCCCTGTAACTTCCCTGTACCCATTTTGAGTTGCTCACACATTGTGTGTTATGGAAGGCAACCTGGGAGAGCTAAGATCCAGTGTAAAGAGAGGTACAAAATGGCCTTGACTTGTGTTGATTCCCCAAGATCAGTACAGATCTTACAAATCTGCCATTTTTGTAGGACAAACCTCTTCCTTCTGCCACAGAGGAAGAAAATATGAGGGAAAAAAATCCAAGCCACATTCTGTGCTGACTTACATAGGTGCAAATCCACAGCAACTCCAATGAAGGCAGGGTAGTTACAGTGGTGTCACATCATTTCTGAGGGAAAACATTCAGGACCATGAAGCTTTCTGATGCTATGTAAAGGGTAAGGGCAAAGATTTAGGACATTATAATCCTGTTTTTCTATCTGTTTTCTGCCAACCCACATGTAATGAAACCCAGATAAATGATAATAATAAATCATTTTTATTATTTATATTATTAATTTTTGAATGGTATAATTCTTGTGGCTTCATTCATTTCCTCCTGAATAGATGTACTGCACTGCAATATAGCTGGGGAGAAAAAAAGCCTTTTCGTACACTAGAACCTTGGAGACATGGCACAGACATTTCTGCAAACATAACTCACCAATATATGACAATTAAGTTCAGAATAAGAGGCATTTCTCACATGATGCAAGGAAATTTTATTTTTCTTGCCACCATCTTGGGGCAAAGACTTATTTCCTGCAAGAGTAATACAATCCCAGAGGATCAACGTAAGTTTTACAAGTTTTGCTTGCTGTGCACTCTGTACCGCTGAAGTAACTGGGATGGATACTCTTGGGCTCCTGACAAATGAAACATGATCCAGGTCCATTTGTCAAATAACCACAGCAGCATTACCCTACCTGAAAATGTCAAGGTTGTATCGGGGCATCAGTCAGACTCTCAAAACTATTTATAGACTATATATTCCCAGAATGATTCATTTGGAAATTGCTTTCTTTGTCAAACTCTCCTTGGCTGTGTATAACAATAAAATCCAAGAATGTAGCTAAATCATAGGAATAAACAGCTGAAGACTAAATGGAAACAAAGGCTGAACTTCTGTGTATTTATTATACTTTTTATTTCTTTGGTCCAAAAGTTCACTCCCTTTACAAACAAAGATGCATACAAGGCCAGTGGTTTGAAGTTTTTACAATAAGCAGTAGGGAATAGGTCCCAAATGACTAAGAGGTGAAGCTGGCACATATCCTGTTCATTCCATGAGTTTATGGTTTCTTTGCTTGATTTTTTAACTTCTTTAATTTTGCTAACATTAGCTAAACATTTGCTAAAATTAGATAATTTTGCTAACATTATCAACAAATTCACCTTTCAGGTATGTACTTACTGCATTGTTAGCTCAGGTGAGGGGCATTTGGGACTGGACACCTGAGTTAGCCTGTCTTCAGTCTGAGCCACCACATCACAAAGCCAGACCTGAGTTACTGCATCCTCAGTGGTGCTGCACTCTTGCACGTATGTTGGTAGGACTTCTGGGAACACTTCCCATGTTGCTTTGTGCTACAGGAAGGTGAGCCACCTTATGACAGTTCTCCAGTGAATTATGACAGATGTCATGTCAGGCCAAGGTGCCATCCCAGCCTTGTCTGTCCTGTGGACAGAGGGGATATTGTAGGAAAGCACTGAAGGACTGTCAGCCCTCAAGTGATTTAACTTGCATGCACTCTGCCAAGTGCATGGGTTACTAGTGCAAGTAAGCAGAATCCACTAAACCCAAACACCTAGCTCTGCTAGCTAGCCCTTGGCTTAACTCAAGGTTTTTATGTGTGGAAGCAGGGATGGTTCAGAGTCACGTACAGTGGACGGTGGGTGCGTTAGCTGTAACTTGGGAACGATGATGTCTTTGTATTCTGTGTATTGCATCTTTATGTAAGATTTCTAAGAAATCTGCAGAGGGCAGCCATTTTGTACTCTTTGTGAAAGGGAGCTAGAGGTAGTGCTGTAGCAATGAGGTTTGGCACCCAGGGCAAAACCTGCAGTGGCAGCCCACCCTTGCCCCATGCAGAGATTGGGGGGAGGGGAGGCGCATGCTCCCCCCATGCTTGCCTAGGAGCCAAACAGCAGCCAGAGCTACCCTCCCCCAGCCCTCTCCTCCCCTCCCCTCCAAACAAGCCACTTGCAGCTCAGTCCTGTGCCCCACACCAGCAGGGTAGCACCTCTTGGCACCTGGGTCAGTCCCCCCAGTCCCCCCCGCTACAGAACTGGCTAGAGGCTCCTGTCATTCAAGAGTCTCAGAGACTGCTGTGGGGGGCTGCAACAAAGGAGCACAAGCTGGCTATTAAGCAAAGGGAAACCTCTGTGTATGGCTAAGGAGCCACATGACCGGAAGGGGTGGGACTTAGAAACATATAAGCCCTGGACTGGAGGCAAAACAGGCAGTCTGGCTTGCATGCTGCAGAGGAAGGAGCTCTTGGGGGAGAGGGGCTTCAGGAAACAGTTCATGAACACCTCAGCTACCCAAGGGAGTTAGACAGAGCAGCTAAAGGGGAAGCATGGCTTGTGGTGGGGTACTGACCCAGAGTGGGAGTGAAGTTTAGTTTGGGAAGCAGTTTGCTTATATTTGTGTTATGTTTTAAGTTTTACACCAGAGGACTGGGTTGCATCTACAGAGGCAACTGAGGGGCACCCAGCTTGAAGCCTGGCCTGGATCAGATATCCCCAGGGCAGCTGGGCAGGCTGAGAACAGCCTGGCTGGGTATCACAGGGCCTGAAAGGGCAAGATCAGAAGGCTGGAGTGGGGGACCCCAAAACCCAAGAGGGTGAAATCAGAGACTGGAACTCGAGGGGGTGAGACCAGAGGCTGAGGTCCAGGGTAATGGATCTTGGCTGAGGGGCACAGCTGGAGTAAGAGGGCCAAGGCCAGAAAGTCGAAGCCCAGACAAGTATTTGAGGCCTGAAGGGCCAAGTGCTGCATTAGGAGCCAGAGGGCTCCGAATCAATATTGAGTGACACCTGCAAAGCTTGGGTATGGCTACAGGGGAGGCTGGAGGCCATGATTATGGCCCCTAAGGTGATTTATAGCCTGAAGGCAACAAGACAGAGCACAAGATAGACACTGTGGGACCCTGGAGCAACCTCCCACAATATTATAAATTCCAACAAGGCATGGCAGGAAGGTTAGAAAAGGAAAGGTACTCTTGGTAGCTGGGGTGCGGCAGGAGTCACTTGACCATAGCCAGACTTGCTACAGCATTACTCTCATCTCCAACTGAGCCACACTGAAATTAAATATTTTATTAACCACCATAGGTATCATAGAAAAATTGGAAGTGACCTCGGGTCTGGACCACTTACTCTGAACCTATGCTCAGGGCAGGATCACCCCTGTCTGAACGATCTCAGCCAAGTATTTATCTAACCTGCTCTTAAAAACTTCCAAGGACAGAGATTCTACAACATCTCCAGATAACCTAAGGGCCCTGCTACACACTCAAGTTTAAGCTATAGAGTTGTTACACATTGTCAGGCACTAACTTTATAGCTGGCTGGGTGCATCTACACATTGCTGTACTGTGCTGTTGCTACGGCACCATGCTTTAGTACTTTCTTTTGGGAGTACTTTTGGAAGTACTAAAGTACGGTGCAGTATGGGCAATTACTGAGCTGTGTGCATGGCGCATGGTTAGATTTTGCAGCTACGTCACCATAGTGACACACTATAAACAGGGAGCGTGTCGCTACAGCAACATAGCTGGCAATCATGTGTAGACCTGCATGATTACTACGCTGCCATAGGGCAACATGTAGTTGTGCCCCTTGGCTCATTTTTATCATGTGATTATTACTTTGCATGTGAGGTTGGTTTAAATTTCTAGTATGATTAACCAGCTAATTTTATAATTACTTTGCATATGTGACCAGTCTCAATTTGTTCAGTAATTAACTAGTTAATTGCATAATATACGTCATATGTAGCAGAGGCCTAAGAGAACACATACAGAAAACATGTTCTCTAAAACAGACTTTCTTCTTGCTCCTTCTTGCTGCTTTGACTAGTCTAAATTAAAGTTAATAGCCTGAAAATATAAGGTTGCACTTAGTCTATGGAAAAGCCCACCTATGAGTGTGGGGCTGAATTTGTATATTTCTGAATTTGTACTTTTAATCAGGGCAACTTACAGGTAGTTGATAAAATATTATGCTGTAGCCTATATACCTTTTATATATTATTATTACAAAGTCTTTATATTGTAGAATGTGAAGTACAATTGGTTAAATTGCAAGCTTTATGGAAAATTTCCTGTAGAATTTGATCACTGTTACAACATTCTATAACATGATTTGAAAAAATAATTAAAAGGAGCAGATTTGCTGTTCAAGTCTGTATATGTTGCAGTGATTTCTACAGACCCCACTCTGGTTTAATCCCTATTAAAGTGTATAGGACTTTCTGTAATGAGATATAAAATATTAAATCCTTCTCAGGTTTTTTTTAAACTCCTGTTTTCAGAGATTCTACTGAATGCATTAGATTCAGTCAGCATTTTGTATATAAGGCTCTCAAGTGACATTTGCATATAAGAACAGTACTTATTACCTAAATAATCAGCTATTGCCTGTAAAAGGCAAAAACCCAAGGGCCTTCTTGAACTCAGTTACCACTTGGCAGGTAGGAGTCTTCCATTCACCTTTCAGATGTGTTCACTTGTAAATTATGGTCCCTTTATAAATATCTTGTGAGGCTTCTAGCTAAACCCCGCTGAAGTCCATGGAAAGATTTGGGTTAGATCCTTAATGATTTTGGATTGTAAGTAATTTCGCCTGCTTCACTCTGTTCTCAAAAAAAAAAAAAAAAGAGAGAGAGAAAGAAATATCAGTTCATCTTCAGTGTATTGTATGACAATGATACTGTCAGAGCCTATAACTCCAACACTCCACCTTTTTAATAAACCAGTCAGAACAATAGTGAAAAAAGCTGAACAATATATAACTTCTCTGAAAGCATGAAACAGGAATTGCAATTGTTTTACATGAAGATAAGAGTGATTCAAAGATAAGGCAAGTGGTGATTCAAACCTGTCTCATTGTCCCACTCAGATGTTACTGAGTCATGCATAGCTATAAAATGTCTTAGAGTTTAAGGACATTTTTCCCAGTACTACAATCTTCTTTGAGCTTGTTCTTCTTCCTTGAGCTTGTTCAATACAAGTTTGGAGCATACCTACAGGTTTCCCAAAATATATGCTGTACATGTGTTCATAAACGACACGCAACCCCAGCAGCTGGTGGGGCATGGCAGCGCTGGCAGCGGCGGGAGCACAGTGGTGGTAAGCAGGGAGCTCCTGCAGATGCCACCGGCACTGGTGATGCCAGGGAGTGGGGGGTGGCAAGTGCCAACCAGGGGTCAGTGACAACCAACACCAGCTGCCCTGAGCGGCGGTGACTGCGGGTGCTGCTGCTGGGCGGCTTCATGGCTCACAGCTCCTGGGGCGCTGTGCTGACAGGGCCAGATCAGGCCAGGCTGCAGGGGCTGGCACTGTGGAGGAGCCAGGTATGGGGCTGTCCTTGGGCCAGGAGTTTCACAACTGTGCTGTTATCATGCTGCCCCTCATGTATGGTGCTGCCAACGGGGTGGGGGGAAGGGCCCCTGCGTCCCTGGGCAAGCCTCCTGGACTCCGATAGTCCCGCCACCCAGCCCGGCTGGGGCACCACTCACTGCAGCCACTCCCCCTGCCTGTGCCCTGCTCCCTCCCTCACCGTGGGAGCCTCGATTTCCACCCCCCCAAGCCCCTTCCCCCTCACCCACAGACTTACCTGCTGAGGGGAGGGGTGTGCGCATACCCACAATGTACCACACAAAGCATCTGACTGCAGGCTTCCACCACACCAATTGCATAATAGTTAATTTATCTTGCATATAACCAATTTTTAGCATGAAAACGGTCATCGTATAAGAGCAAATTTGCACATGCAGAACCCGCATAAAGTGGGGGAAACCTGTATTTCCATTGGCTGAAGCCATTTTTGAGAAGATATATATTTAACCTTAAGCATATATGAGTTATTGCAAGACAGTTGTGAATTTGACTTCCCAAGTCACTAGCAGAAAATTTGTGTAGTCATTTACATGTTCATTTAAGCCTGAGGACTGACAAGAAGTTGCAGACAGTGACAATTTTTGCCTGATCTGGCCCCTGAAAGCACTTTACAGCATGACCAAACACAAGTGCATTGCTGCAGAATGCTTTAAAAGGGCCTGATCCTGCAAAAATCTGAACCCTCATGCAGATGATTCAGTAACTTGTCTCTGTGCCACCTCCCAGTCCCGGTACTGTTTTCAGAATGGGAGGAGGGAAAGGGAGAGGGGGGAGTTTGGTCTGGGGGGTTTTCAGCCAGTACTGGAAGGCGAGGTGCATGGATTGGAGCCCCTCCAAGGTGGGGGGACAGGACACCAATCCACCTGCTCCACCTCCAGCACTGACTGCAAAAGGCCCAGAATGAGCTCCCTCCACTCCCTTTCCCCACTCCCATCCTGAAAATAGCACCTGGACTGTAAAGGGGGAGGGGCATTGTTAGGAGGGAGCAGCTGCAGCTCCCAGCGGCTCTAAACAGCAGCTAGATTCTCCAACCCCCCAGGGGGTCTGGCAATCGTTGTAACTCATGGCACTTTCTGCATAGCTCCATGAGTTACAAGAGGGAGCTGCTCTTCTGTCTGCACACAGAGTGATGTTTCATCCATGGATCTCACAACACTTTACGAAGGTGAAACTGAGTGCAACTTTGCCAACTGGGGCTTCAGTTTTTGGGTGTTTGTCTTTAGCTGGGCACCAAAAAACTGAGGTACTCAAAATTACTGGATACTTCAAAATGTTGGGCCTAGATGATTTGCATAAGCTTATATAGGGGCCGGTTCAGGTGACACTTAAACAGCTGCCCAAAATGAACAGTCCCACTGAGTTGAAAACTACTCACAACTTACTCACCTGGAACAACAGTGAATTAATATTACAGAAACCCTGAATATTGAAAACCACCTTTGGCCCTACTTCCTAATCTAGACAGTTATGCCACAAGTTTATAAAGTGTCATACACATGTAAACTGCTCTAACAGTGTTTATTTGTATTAATAGGTCATACTACACTGCTTGCACTGTGGCGAAGAAGTTTCTTTAGGAAAAACATGGTGTGGAATTATAAGATTATTAGTCACTTTGAAGAATGCAAACAAATAATATTGATTTAAGAGTTCTGAAGCATTCCCTAGTAAATAGGATATTAAATATAATTAAATTGGGTGGAAATCTATTTTTGGGATACAGGGAAAGTTACATACCAGGTCAGATTAGGAGTCCCTCTAGTAAAGAATCCTAGTGACCAGGAGAAGATACATTAAGGGAAGGTGCAGGAACCCTTACAGCAGTTATGGGGCAAACGCATAATAATAAAGCACAGGTGCAAGATATGTTACATACAGGACACATCTACACATCACCGTACAGCAATATTGCTATGGCACCATGTGTTAGTACTTTTGGAAGTACTAAAGCATGGTGCAGTGTGGGCTGTTACAACACCGTGTGCATGGCGCACAGGTAAATTTCACTGTAACAACGCACCATACCCAGGGAGTATGCGGCTATGGTGATTTAGCGCATCGCTACCTTGCCATAGGGTGATGTGTAGATGCGCCCACAGCTACCTTGAGTAAGCCAGGCCTCTACAGTAGCAAGAACAAGTAACATTTCACAATGGGAGGAGCTGCTGCTGTTTACCTGACTTAGTGATTCGAAAAGATGAGACACCAATTCCATTTTTTACCCATTGCAGCATGTATGCAGGCTGCATAGGCTAGCTAAGTGGATGCTAATCCCAGGAGTGTCTGATTTCATGGAACAGATGAACCTAGAACATGATTCTCTCATTTCAGCTGTCTTCATCTATGAAGCTGCCTGACAGTGTTCTAATGCTGAAATTTTGACGTGGTTGTTTTTTAACATACTAGTATTTATGCTGCTTACTTTCTAGGTTTAGGAATTTACTCTTCACCGTGGTTTATGAGCTTTGTTAACTTGCCAAGCACACTGAAAAGCCTCTGTCTTCTCCAAGTATTGAAAAGGGAGTGAACCGAGGTAAATGCACTTATAGGAATCCTTTAGATTGTTTATATGATTTTTTAAAATATTATCATTTCAATTTTTTTTTATTTATTGCATAGGCACCCAGAGCACTAGACAGACACCTAATGCATTTTAGAGGTCTAAAAACAAACAAAAAAAGAATCTTTTTTCTTATCTTTTATGCAAAAAAATAAGGGAATGGAAAAACATTTCTTGTTACACCAGCCAGTTTAGTCAGGTCTACAGCAATAACCAGTATGTTACTTTATTAGTAGTATCCCAAAGCAAACACACATTTGAGTGTTTTCCTTTCAGATCTTTGTACACCTCTGCACAGCTGTGATTCCCAGAAGTTTTCAAACAGTGGTGTGTATTTGCTAAGCTGTCCAACTCTGCAAATGTATTATCTAACTCTGTCAAGCGATTTCCAACATAGTTTGTATGAAGGAGACTAATAAAAATATAATTGCTGGGGCTGGTCTAGATTCTGGACAAGTGGATGAAACTCTTCTGAAATCTGAAGTCATCAAGTCTAAATGTTGTCCGTATCATTTGCTATGTATTGTTTACTTATTATATTTACAACTGTACATTATTTTTTTATTACATTTCCTTCTGGGAGATGCCCTTGAAGTAAATCTATTTTCATCACGGATGAATTCTGCCCAACATAATACATCTGTTGCTGTTCCAAGCAACTGCTCCATTGAGATTCTCCTTTATCTCAAGTGGTTGAACTACTGCTTTTAGAATGGAGTAAAAGAATCCTTTGTTAAAGTCCAGGCGGAAACTAATTCCTTATGATTCAGTTAACAACTCATTGAGGTAGTGGCTTCTTTATTGGAAGGGGAGTACCGTCTCATGGGTAGAGCAGTGGACTGGACTCTGTTTTCAAATCAAATGATAACATACAGGAAACACTTAGGGCTCAGTCTTGCAAGATGGAGAGCATCTCTTGAAAAGTGTTGAGAAGCTCAGTGACTTGCAGAACTGGCCTCTAGTTCCAGATTTTATATTGAAATGAATATTTCACTCTTTACTTAATTCACAGGAGTTAATATTTGCAAACCACTTTCAGATCCTTCATATAAATGTTATTGTGGAAGCGGGGGAATGCCCTCAGTGCCCGGAAGTGCCGGGGACAGACATCAACGCTCCCAGAGGAAGGCCCAGGGACCCCAGCACCGCAGGAAACTTACCCTGGTGGCAGACCAGGACAGGGCGGGAGCCTCACACACCAGCGCTGCGCCAGCATTTCAAGTGGCTATCAATCAAGCTGGGTGGTGGCCAGCTGATGACGTCAGCTGTGACCACCACCATGAAAGATTTAAAAACCCTGGCAGAAGCCAGGTGCAGGGGGCAGGTAGGAAGCAAGATGCTGAGCTTGCTGGGGGGCTACCTAACAGAGCAGACCCCCTCGCCCCCCCATGATGCTGCCCCACCGGGAATGAGTGAGGGCAGTAGTAGGGAGCCAGACAAGGCTTCCCAATTCCAAGCTTCATGGGAAGGGGCTTGGAGTCGGTCACCAACCCTAGAGCCCGGGCTGAGCATAGCCAATCTTGAGTCTGCGGTGGGCACCACAGACACAGGCCTGGTGCAGGGACAGAGCAGGGCCAAAGTTTAGGAGTGAAAGGCAGGCTGCAACCACAAGGCCGCACTTCAAGCGGAGGCTGATGAGGCTGAGACCCAGCAGCAGGATATAAGAGGCTGGAGCCAGGAGTTGGCACAGCGGCACGACGGCCCTTATGTTTGGTGAGTGGACAGGGTGTAGGGGAGGCACAGCCCCAGGATCAACTGTGACAAGCCAGCGAGTATTACCATGTCCGGGGCAGAGGCAAGAACAGCACTGAACCCTTCCTTTCAGTTACAGTTCCATCAAGTCATGGCAGACGAGTCAGGGCCTGGCCCAGGGAGTGGGAAGATGCTCACAGCACCAGCTGAGGGCACCACAGCTATATATGCATAACTTTAATTATTGTTATTATGTAAACGCTACCAAGCCCATTTAGTTTGTCCCAACATGCTTCCAGGTTAAATGTACATATATTTAGAATATCTTGCATAATATATTTCTATGAACAGGCACTACCGACGTATAAAAATATCTTATTTTATTAAAAGCACCATATGAGCAAATTTCAAAACTGTTCTACATGTTGGATCATTAGAAAATCACAGCGTCATTTAGGAACTAAATTTAGGCATTGTAAAAAATGTTTGGAGGGTTTGCCAAATTTAGCCTAAAGAAAAACTATGGTTGTTGTGTTTTACATGGAGATTTTTTGTGCAAGAACATTTTCTTAGTTCTTGCACAAGAGCACAAGAACCAGAAAGTAGAATCAACTATCAACGAAAGTTTAGACCCACTTTAGTTTAGATAAATTAGGGAAATTAAAGGTTGTTTTTTTTTTTTTAAAGGGAGTGGATATAATGAAAAGTTGATTAGATTTTTGTTTTAAGTCTTTCAATTTTAATAGTCAAAGGTAAAGTTTTCCAGACTTTTCAAAGTTGACCTCTTCTGTTTGGGAAGTCTGTACTAACCACTACATATTCTGCACTAAAGTGTTACAGACCTGACAAAATGAGCTAGCATTCAGAGTATATTATAACTACATTTCATGCTAAAACTTCCTTCCCTTTGTCTGTTTTGATAAAAGCTGAAAATAGTTAAGACTGCTGATATTTCAAGTGCACTAGAATCTGAGTTTGCACTATCTGAAGCAACCTGCACATTTCAGCAAGCTTAAGGAGACATCCAGGCATCAGTTGCACTTAAGTCCTATTGGAAAGATTGGGGCAGGGGGATATAGGCACATAAACAAGTAACTGCAGGGTAAGCTAGGATCTGAACTTATGGCAATTGGTTACCATGGAGTAACTATCTGTGTTCAAGTTTAACTTACAGAAAATATGAGGTGAGTTACCTCTCCATGAAAGTAAGGCAAGAGCATGTGTATGAGCTGTTACTGCGTGGTAGCTGAAACACTTTAAATTTACATTGCATCTCATCTTATCTATCACACCCTAAATCTCCCCTTCAAAATGAGGATACTTTAAATAACCATTTTATTTAAGAGGATAATTTTCCTGGTTAGCTGATTCAATTGACCATACTGTCCATCTATTGATAGGTAGTTACCGTAATAGGGATCCATTATTATTTGAGGAACTAATCATACAATCATGACACTCAAAAGTAATCCATTTAGAAGTCTGTCACTGACATCAGAAGGACAGCTCAAGGAGTAAGGTTTGCAACAGGGCCTTTGATCACCATAAATGTAATTGAGCGTTCTAATGTTCCAGTTGCATTCAAGCTTTTCAGGAGAATAAAGACACACAGCCTCTTTTAATCTAGGGCAAGTGACCAAAATTGGATGAGCAAGAAGTACTTAGTAATATAGGATTTTTTTCTGAATATTAATAAGGCTTCTGTATCTGTACCCAGCACTTCTCATGTTAGTAAATCATAGCAAGAAAGAAAGTAGGGCAGCTTTATTAAGGACAGTGTGGATTCATGAATATAATAATACTGTACACATTGGGCTGTATCCCACATACTGTATACGGGACACTGAAAAACATGTAGCATTGTTCTAATATGAAGCAGAAGCAGGAGGAAAGAGGGAACTGTGAGAAAGTAAAGCAAGCAGTGGGAACATGCAGGTAAATGTTTATGTGAAATAAAAATACTGTACTGTTTCTGTTCTCTAAAACCCTGGTTATACCAATGGAAAGCTACACTCCTTTTAATCATATTGGTGATTAGTGAAACTAATTTACAAAATCAGATTAAAACATCCACGCTCAGCTTCAAGTTTTGATATGTTGTGACGCCACAAGGAAATAGTATACAGTAATGTGTTAATCGGGACTTGAGTTGTGGTGGAAACAAAACCCCATGCCAGAACGAAACCTGGATTAGAAAGATGTGTGAAATATTCACAATGAAATTACATAAATCTTGAAATGTGAGGTGTCCAGTATATTTATTTGGTCTAATTTCCTATAGAAAAAAGACGATATATCAAAGTAGACATGGTTAATCAAATCTCTGTGTTTTATATTTCGGAATGTGACATTTGGTTCAACAAAGACCCACTTTTGCACAGATTTTTTTTTATTGTTTCACATCTAAGTGTAAAAATGGCCTGACCCTTCATTTGGGGAATGAAATGGCCTGGAATTAGCTTATCACTATTCCTTTTGAGAATTAATGAAAAAAATTAGCTCTTTTCCCACAGTTGTGCTTTTAGCATAGTTTCAAAACAGTCTAATGGAGACATAAGTCCAGCATGCTGTCTGTTGTACAGCTATATAAAACTCATCAAATCACTGTGGACACAGCACTTACAGTTCTGAAACTATTCTTCTTAAGGCAAATTAAATTGCCTGCAGGTAGTTCTGCCACATGTCAGAGTTACAGTGCAGTTAGCTGATGGATAATGGGTTTTTGCAATGATTGTTGTCTTCTATTTCCCTTTGTACCCCAAGCAGTGCATCATGCAGTAGTATTTGATCTGGATGCTGAGGGCTGTTATCATGCTTTACCTTTTTTACAAAGGTACAGAGTCAATTATAACCAGTCTTGGAATAAATCAGAAGTAACAGCTGGGATTACAGAGTTCAATAACCTTGCACAGCAGCTTCACAGTGGAAAGTGGTGGTTTGCACCTTGGAAGCACTCAGGAGTCTGATTCCTTCTTCTTTCTGAGAGATCTAATTACTAACTTGGCAGCAGATTCTGATGTCAGGTACATGGCATCATTTTGTAATCACTCCACTGACTTCAGTGAATTTACAGTGGCTTTACACTGTTCAGTTTAATGCAGAATTTGACACGGCACAACTAATGCCTTGATTCCAAAGCCTAGAAGAAAGGAAAGAATTGAGGAAACTGGTTCAGAAAAGTAAGGACCAAGCTGAACCTTAAGCAAGGTCCTTCCCTGAACTAAACCTAAATCCGCTTCATTATGGATGTTCCCTCTTTAGGCCCTGACACCCAGATCTTTATCATAGTCTCTGACTGGTCCACCTTTCTCCTCATGAACAATAATAGATCCCAGCTTCCTCCATCTTCGCAACCAAAGCCCTGCAACGGAACTGGGATATTGTTGGGATCTGCCAACAAGGCAGTAGAAGTGAGAAAAATAAAGTGTGAGCAGGACTGGGCAGAAAATAATTTCCATTTGCAGATACTGGCAGGGTCAGATTTCATTTGCGTATGTATAATGATTGGACCAGAGAATAAGTGAGACTCAAATTGATAGAGGTAGAAGCAGAAAGGGTTGTGGTAGGACAGGATAGGATCAGGATTAAATATAACGTCCCATGGAGGGCTCCATGCACAACCTCCAACTGTGCAGGATCTGAGAAGCCATAATACAGTGGCTAGGCCTTGGGCTGTTGCTCCGCTCCTATATTACTAAACCCGGTGCGGTCACTAAGAAACAACCCTGCCCAGCCACTTACTCCTGTCTTGTACGTGACCAAGCCCAGCAGTTAAGCAATGAGGACAGCCAGAAGGAGTCCTGAGTGTACACTCAACAGTACTCTGGGGCTACCCAGTAGACATAGGAGGACAGACAGGAAAGTCTGAGAGCAATGCCCCTCTAACATATCTACAGGCAGTCCTCAGACTTACTACATAATTGGTTCCTGAAAACCCGCATCTTAAGTCAAAGCATTGTAACTTGGAACCAATTTTCTCATAAGAAACTAT